GTAATCCCAGAGGTACATGCTTTGCTGGAGAAGGAAAGGCCATCTCTTCCTGTACCAGTCAGATCTGATTTGATTGTACACTCACACAAAAATAATAAAATTTAAAAAAAAGAAAAGAAAAATTGCATTGGGAAAGTCTGCTGTCATGAGACTTCTCCAAAGTAATGAAGAGCAACGATGTTAGTCAGGAGACAAAGGTGCACCTGATCCAAGCCATAGTCTTTGCAATTACTTGCCATCTGTCATAAAGCTGAATAATGAATAAGGATGATAGAACGAGAATTGATGTCTTTGAGCTATAGTGCTGGAGAAGACTATTGAGTATACTATGGACTGCTAAGAGAATGAAGAGGTTTGTCCTTGAGAGGGTTAAACCAGACTGCTCCTTGGAGGCAAGGATTCTGAAGCTTCATCTGACATACTCTGGACATGGTTCAAGGCAGAACCAGTCCTTGGAGAGGGATATCATGCTTGGGAGGGTTAAAGAACATTACAAGAGAGGAAGACCCTCGATGAAATGGATTGATTCAGAGACTGGGGTAATGGGGATAGGTGTGTCAGAGACAGTAAGATTGGCACAGGATAGAGCTGGGTTTAGGGCTCTTGTACATAAGGTTGCTGTGAGTCACAGGTGACTTGACAGCACATAACAGCAACATCCTAAACTACAATATTGTGAATGACAGAATACTATCCATATGCATACAAGGATGGCCTATCAATAAATCCATTATTCAAATATATGCACCAATGACTAATGCCAAAGAGGAGGAAATTGAAGGATTCTACTCACTTTTGCATCCCAAAATTGACCAAACATGCAATCAAGATGCATTAATAATTATTGGTGACTGGAATGCAAAAATCAGAAACAATAAGAAACAAATGGTAATCAAAAACTACAGTCCTGGTAACAGAAATGAGGCTGGACATAGAATGACTGAATTTTGTACATTAAATATTTTTTTTTAAAAAAAACACCACAAAAAGCTATGCACACCCATGTTTACTGCTGCATTGTTCACAACAGCAAAGAGATGGAAATAACCCAAGTGCCCATCAAACAAATGGATAGAGAAACTGTGGTATATTCACACAATGGAATGCTATGCAGGACTGAAAAATAAGGAACTCAAGAAATATTATACAAAATGGGTGACCCTGGAGGACATTATGCTAAGTGAAATATCTCAGTCACAAAAGGACAAATGCTACATAATGCCGCTGTCATAAAACAGGACTGACATCAGGGTTATAGGGAACTAAGAAAAGAAAGGGTAAATAATGTACACTGCATTGAAACAGATGAGGGAAAGAACTGCTTAAAAGGAATATATGATTAGGTATTATTTGCATGACAATAGTTCAGAATAAGAGCTACCTAGTAAAGTGGACTGGGGTTGGGATGAGGAATTATACACCAATGAAAGAATTTTTTTTCTCAAAGAGAAAAGAGAACTGGGGCGGAGGTGGACAGGGAGGAAAATGTGCAGCAATGAATGAATTTTTTTTTAAATGCACACACACACACCAAACACAAAAAACAACTTTACACATGGACCTCACTTGATGGACTCCACAGGAATCAGAATCACTACAAGTGTGGAAAGAATCACTGGAGAAATACAGTATCACCAGTCAAAACCAGGCCAGGTGCCAACTATGGAACAAATTATTAACTGCTTATGTGCAGGTTAAAATGAAAACTGAAGAAAATTGCATTCGAACTTCCGAGTTGTAAAACAACCCAGTGGTAGATGGAATTTCCTCCAGGACTTAAGAACCATAAATAATATAGCTGAGCCTCTACATCTTGTGGTTCCTAACCTCTACACTATAATAGACAAAGTGCTAGTCTATAGGCCTTTTATTGTAAGAACCACCTTCCCTCTGTAACTTGATTTGTGCCACTATTAGAACCTCTACTCGGAATATTATTGCTTTTTAATTTTTGACTCATGTACTTTTAACTTGTTAGTTAAATTTTTATCTTCTAGGCTGCAACACTTCCATGATACATCTTCAAGGATATGAACATGTACGGCTAAGCACAATTGATAACAGTGCATCTAAATTCCAAAATAAATCTCCATAATAGTCTATGTGTTTTCTACTGCCAAAGGGGCCCTTTAGAGTAGTGAGAGAAGATCTTCACCCTGAAACCTACAGCGTCCCTTTTCAGCAGGAAGTAGCTAAGAGAATACGCCATCCCCTTTTCCTTATGAATCAGGGTGAAGTCTCTCTCAGGGAGGAGAGATAGGGAATGGCAAAGGACACACTAACAAAGGAGATTAATCAGAACTGGCTTTGACAAGCACTATGGCAATTGGACAATTAAAACAGACATTCGGGGGGTGGGGAAGAAGAACGATCTGGGGAGGAGGGTAGGGAAAACAGTGCAACAATGAATGAAAACCCAAAATCTCTGTAAATGTTCACTAAAACTAATAAAATTTAAGAATAATTTTAAAAAACCAAAAATTAAAAAAACCTGAAGAAAATGAAAACTAGCCTACAAGAACCAAAATAGGACTTGAGTCTAAATTTTCCTGAATTAAAAAATCATCTGCAGAATAGTTTTGAGACACTGAATACTAATGACTGAAGACCAGATGAGTTATGGGATGATATCAAGGATTTATCCATGAAGAGAGCAAAAGGTGGTTGGTTACAAAAGCAGAGGAGAAAGAATATAAAAATTATTTAAGATGAGATTCTGAAAATTGTGCTAGGGTGTCAAGAAGCCAAACCAAAGGGGATAAATGCCCAACTGAAAGAAAGAAACAGGAGATTTCAAAGGAAAGCTCGAGAAGACAATATAATGAAATGTGCAAAGAGCTGGAGTTGGATATAAAAAAAGGAAGAAATCGTTCAGCATTTCCAAAGTTGAAAGAATTGAAAAGCAAGTTTAAGCCTCAAGTTGCAATACTGAGAGACATTATGGGCAAAATCTTGAATGATCCAGGAAGCATAAAAAGATGATGGAGGCCCTCCTCCCCCAAAAAAAGATGATGGAGGGAATAAACAGAGTCACTGTACCAAAAAATACTGGCCGACATGAAAATATTTCAGGAAGTACTATATGATCAGTACTATATGGAGACTAAGGTGCGTCTGATACAGGCCATGGTCTTTGCAATCACTTGTTATGCATCAGAGAGTTGGACAATGACTAGGGAGGACAGAAGGAGAGTTGATGCCTTTGAGCTGTGGTGCTGGAGAAGAGTATTGAGAGTACCATGGACTGCTAGGAAAACAAACAGATTCATCCTGGAAAGGGTTAAACTGGACGGGTCCTTGGAGGCAAGGATTCTGAGGCTCCATCTAACATACTTTGGACATGTTGTAAGGAGAGATGGTCCTTGGAGAGGGACATCATGCTTGGGAGGGTGGAGGGAGAGCACAGGAGGGGAAGACCCTCTATGAGGTGGATTGAGTCAGTGACGGGTAATCGGGATGGGTGTGTCGGAGGCAGTGTGATTGGCACAGGATAGAGCAGGGTTTAGGGCTGTTGTACATAGGGTTGCTATGAGTCACAAGCAACTCGATGGAACATAACAACAACAACAACAACTATATGATCAAGAGCCAATGGTAAAGAATAAGAAGTTTAAAATGCACTGGAAGAACTGGCAAAAAATAAGGCCCCAGGAATCAATGGGACACCAACTGATGTTTTACCTAAAGAGGTCTATGACAGGAAATATGGAGGACAGCTGCATGGCCAACTGACTGGAAGAGATCCATATTTGTGATAAAAGGAGAAGTGATCAAACAGAATGTGGAAATTATAGAACAATATACTTAATTATACTGCAAAATACTGCAGAAGATCATAAAAAAAATGGCTAAGAGTACATTGATAGAGAACTGCCAGAAGTTCAAGCTGGGTTTAGAAGAGGCCATGGGACTAGGAATTAGATTTCTGATGTCAGGTAGATCCTGGCTGAAAACATAGAATACCAGAAGAATGTTGGTGTTTTATTGACTATGCAAAGGCATTTGACTGAATGGATCATAGCAAACCATAGCTAACATTGGGAACAATGGAAATCCCAGAACACTTTATTGTGCTTACATGAAACCTATACATAGACCAAGAAACTGTTGTGTGAACAAAGCAAGGGAACACTGTATGGTTTAAAATAAGGAAAGATGTCAGGGTTGTATCCTTTTCCCCTAACTATTCAATCTGTACCTTGAGAAAATAGTTTGTGATGCTGGACTCTTTGAAGAGGAATGTGGCATTAGGACTGGAGAAAGACTCAATAGCCTTCGCTATGCAGATGACACAACCTGAAACACTTACTAGAAAGGATTAAAGACTTCTATATGAATTACATCTCAACATCAAGAAGACAAAAATCCTCACCACTTGGCCAACAGGCAACAGCATGATACATGGAGAAAAGATTGAAACTTCAATAATTTCACCTTATTTGGACCCACAATCAATACCCTTGGTACCAGTAGTCAGGAGACCAGGAGACATATTGCATTGGGAAAGTACTGTCAGGGATCTCTCCAAATTATTGAGAAGCAATGATGTCACTTTGATGATTAAATGTGCCTGATTCAGGCAAGGTCTTTTCAATTGCTTGCTGTGTATCTGAGGGCTTTGTCTCACATATTTTGGGCATGCTGCTAGACGAGGTTCTTTCTTGGAAAGGATACCATACTTGGAAAGGCTGAGGGTTAATCAAAGAGAGGAAGATTGTCAATGAGATGAATTGACAAGAGACTGCAGCAATGGACTCAAGCATTTCCAAAATGGTGAGGATGACACAGGATAGGACAGGGTTCAGATCTGTTGTTCATACGGTTGGTATGAGTTGTACTTTATTGGACAGCACCCAGGAAGAACAATGACTCATAGCCTGACTTTGTCATCGCCTACCATCTTGTCAGAATTTTGAGACTGATCAGTTAATTCACTAGGCTCATTCTATTAAGAGAAGTCAAAGCAACTATAGTCAAGTTTTTCTGGAGAGTACACCTACCTTGATGACACTATTCTTGCAGTCCACCACTCGTTCAAATGTTTGACTGAGGATTTCAATGTCTTTATGAAGCTCTTTGGTTTTGACTTCTCGCAGGATGGTTCTCCACTGTGTGTTAACCTTATTAAGGTTCAGAGCAGTATTATGCTCCTCCTTGGCCAATTTGTCCTGCGAAGAATAAATGTTATCTCTAGGAGGTCTGGGCCAAAAGCTCGGATACAGTACAACAAACAAGATCACAGTATATCAGCTTGCCACCTGACTGCCTTGTCTTTTCAAGCGGACTAAACCTCCTGATGGCTGTGAGGGAGTTCCTGTTTTTGGTTTGGAAAGGCTAGAAGAAAAATAGAAACAGCCTCATAGCATTTTAGGGAAAGGAAGGGTGAATTTCTTTTAAGGTGGCAGCAGGAGAGCCAGATACTATTTTTTTTTCAATACTATTTTTTAAGATCCCGTCTTCAGGGAGAATGTGAGGATTTCAACTAGCTCTTTTAAGAGCCCATCTTCTGAGAGAATATGAGGATTTCAGATAGCTGAGACGGCTGACAGCATCTCTTCAGAGACTCAGTTGTGACTGTTAAAATCTATAACCGTCTTTCTCTCCGTGTTTGGCAGAGAACTTCTCTCCCCACCACCCCCAAACAATGAGCAATGTTACCCGAATTCAAGTATATTTGTCTCAAGATTTCCAGGATCAAAATTAGGCTGGGACGATGACAGAATAGAAAAAAAGACAGCCCTTGCTGGGTGAGAGTAGAGGTGGGAATTGAGGAAGGTCATCACCTTCAAGAACTGGCTCAAGAGTTTCTCCTTCTTTTTGGCCATTTCTTCCTCTGCCAACAGCTTCTGCTGAAACAGGAGCAGGTGTTCTTCATCGGACGGGGTCATCTTTTTCCCTTTCTTGGGCATGGCTATGCTACAAACTGGATCTGGATAAGAAGTTTCTGCCTACCTCGGCCCCTGTCAGAGGGCAGGGGACTCCTAGAACTACCCTTGAGCAATTATGAGACCTTAGATCTCTGCTCAAGGCAAGACAGTACCTCCGCTAACCGCGAAATCCAGTTTCAGAGCAGTCTAGGACTGCGTCTCTGTCTCCTAGCAACGAGGATCTATGTTCAGTGAGAATCTGAGAGACCCTGGTGGGAGCGCCCCCTGCCAGCTGGAGGACTGCAGTTATTTTTTCTCTCTCTAGTGGACTTGAGAAAACAGATTCATCGTAGAGAGGATTAAACCAGGCTGCTCCTTGGAGGCAAGGATTCTGGGGCTTCGTCTGACATACTTTGGACATGTTATAAGGAGAGACAGGTCTTTGGAGAGGGACATCATGTTGGGTAGAGTGGAGGGACAGCGCAGGAGGGGAAGACCCTCTATGAGGTGGATTGATTCAGTGACTGGGGTACTCGGGATGGGTTTGTCAGGGACAATGAGATTGGCACAGGATAGAGCACGATTTAGGGCTGTTGTACATAGGGTCGCTATGAGTCGCAAACGACTCGACGGCACATAACAACAACAACAGTGGACTTGAAGTGCTTGCTGCAGAAGGTCAAGGACTGCAGCCTTCAATATGGATTGAGGCTCAATGTCAAGAAGACAAAGATTCTCACCACTGGACCAATTGGCAGCATCAGGATGTATGGTGAAGAGAGTGAGATTGTTAACAACTGGCTCCACAGTCAACACTCTTGACACCAGCAGCCAGAAAATTAAAAGACGTATTGCTGGCTAACTCTGAGAAGAATGGGAATCCCAGAACACTTGATCGTGCTAATGCGAAACCTATACTTGGACCAAGAAACAGTTGTCAGAACAGAGCAAGGAAACACTGCATGGTTCAAAATTGGCAAGGGCGTACGCCAGGGATGTGTCCTATCTCCATACCTTTTCAACCTGTATGCAGAACAGATCATCCAGGAGGCTGGGCTCTATGAGGAGAAATGCAGCATCAGGATTGGTGGAAGATCTAACAACAATCTGCGATATGCAGATGACACAACCCTGCTTGCTGAAACTGAGAAGGACCTGATGTGCTTGCTGCAGAGGGTCAAGGACTGCAGCCTTCAATATGGATTGAGGCTCAATGTCAAGAAGAAAAAGATTCTACCACTGGAACAATTGACAGCATCAGGATGGATGGTGAAGAGATTGAGATTGTGCACAGCTTTAGTTTGCTTGGCTCCACAGTTAACACACTCTTGGCAACAGAAGCCAGGAAGTTAAAAGATGTATTGTGATGGGAAAGTCTGCTGTTAGGGACCTCTCCAAAGTACTGAAGAGCAATGGTATCTCTCTGGAGACTAAGGTGCATCTGATACAGACCATGGTCTTTGCAATCACTTGTTATGCATCAGAAAGTTGGACAATGACTAGGAAGGATAGAAAGATAATTGATGCCTTTGAGCTGTGGTGCTGGAGAAGTGTATTGAATGTACCATGGACTGCTAAGAAAACAAACAGATTCATCCTGGAGAGGGTTAAACCGGGCTGCTCTTTGGAGGCAAGGATTCTGAGGCTTTGTCTGACATACTTTGGTCTTGTTGTAAGGAGAGAACGGTCCTTGGAGAAGGATATCATGCTTGGGAGGGTGGAAGGCAGGTGCAGGAGGGGAAGGCCCTCTAGGAGGTGGATTGATTCGGTGACTGGGGTAATCGGGATGAGTGTGTCGGAGACAATGAGATTGGCACAGGACAGAACAGAGTTTAGGGCTGTTGTACATAGGGTCGCTATGAGTCGCAAGCGACTCGACGGCACATAACAACAGCAACAACTACATTGCGATGGGAAAGTCTACTGTTAGGGACCTCTTCAAAGTACTGAAGAGCAATTGTGTCTCTCTGGCGACTAAGGTGTGTCTGATATAGGTCATGGTCTTTGCAATCACTTGCTATGCATCAGAGAGTTGGACAATGACCAAGGAGGATAGAAGCAGAATTGATGCCTTTGAGCTGTGGTGCTGGAGAAGAGTATTGAGTATACCATGAACTGCTATGAAAACAAACAGATTCATCCTTGAGAGGGTTAAATCTGGCTGCTCCTTGGAGGCAAGGATTCTGGGGCTTTGTCTGACATACTTTGGATCAGTCTTTGGAGAGGGACAACATGCTTGGGAGGGTGTAGGGACAGCGCAGGAGGGGAAGACCCTCTATGAGGTGGATTGATTCAGTGACTGGGGTAATCGGGATAGGTGTGTCAGAAGCAGTACGATTGGCACAAGACAGAGTACATAGGGTTGCTATGAGTCGCAAGTGACTCAACGGCACATAACAACACAACAACAGTGGCAGCAAGCTGCACTGCAATCCCGAAGGCTGGAATTCTGAAGATTGGAATTCAGCAGCTGCTCTGTGGAAGAATGGTGGGCCTCTGAAAACCCGTTGGAAGGTCAGGTATGGGTCGATTCCAACTAGATGGTACACAACAACAAGAAGTGGTTACCGGGGATGCAGGTAGAGGAAAAGATCAACTTTCTATATAAAAGGCACTTGGTTTTGTTAATAGGAAGTTCATGTTAATTGTTAACTGTTATTGGTGTTAGCCTTCTAGTTGAATACCACTCATAGCCACCTTATGAACAGATCTGAACCCTGTGCCATCCTCACGATTTCTGACATACTTGAACCATTTGCTACAATCACTGTGTCAATCTGTCTTGTTCAGGATCTTCCTTTCTTTCACTAGCCTTTCCAAACATGATGTCCCTCTCCAAGAAAATATGCCCAAAGTACGTGAGAGGAATCTTTGTCATCTTTGCCTCCAAGGATCACTCTGGCTGCCCCTTCTCTAAGATTTTTTTATTCTTTTGACAGTCCATGGAATGAATATTCAGTGCTCTTCCAGTACCACAGCTCAGAGGCATCAATTCTTCTGTCATCTTTAGTCATTGTCCAACTCTAAGATGTACATAGCAAATGAATGAAAAGACCATGGCCTGAGTCAGATGTGGCTTAGTCCTTAAACTGACATCATTGCTCCTTAGTAATTTTGTAAAGATCCCTGACTGCGGACTTTCCCAGTGTAATAAATCTCTTGACCTCCTGATTGCTGTGTTGATTTTGGTTCTAAGTAAGATGAATTCATTGGCAGTTTCAATCTTTTCTCCATCTATTATTATGTTGACTATTGGTCCAGATATAAGAATTTTTGCTTTCTTGACACTGAGGTGTAAGTTATATTGAAGTCTGTAGTCTTTGAACTTCTGCAGCAAGCACTTCACTTTCTTCTCATTTTCAGTAAGCAGGGTTGTCTCATCTGCTTAGTGAAGTTGTTGATGAGTCTTCCTCCAATCCTGATGCTTATTCTTCATAGTGTCCAGCTTACTTTCTTTTCCCTTTTTTTATGTCAGACAGGTAATGTGCCCATGTCACAACAAGTTTTAAAGGGTGGCACATGTCATACTAAAGCATGAACACCCAATCATCATACTTACGAACCGGAAAAGGATCAATCCCAGCTTCTTGAATGATTTGCTCAGCATACAGATTGAATAGGTATGGAGAGAAGATCCAATCCTGTCACACACCTTTCTAATTTTAAATCATGTAGTATTTCCTTGCTCTGGTCACACAACAGCTTCTTGGTGTAAGTATAGGGTATTTTTTTAAGATACAGGTTTTTCACAATTAAGTGTTAGCTATCAGATGCTATCAAGTCAACTATGGTATGACAGATCCTATTAACAACATATCTGAACCTTGCCTATCCTGCACCATCCTCATGAGCTCTGTTCTGCTCCAGCCCACTGTGCTTGTCATTGTGTTAATTTACCTCTACCTTTCCCAGCATGATGTCTCTCTCCAAGTACTGGTTCCTCCTCCGTATATTCCTCCTAAAGAAGTGAACTGTAGCCTCACTATCCCTGCCTCTAAGGAACACTGTGGTTGTATTTCCTTCAAGACAAATTTGTTTTTATCTTCAAGTCAGGTAATAAGAAAGCCAACACCAAATGAGAGTGAAGTGTCACTAAAATGTACACCATTTGTAATTAATTAATTCCTTTCTTTTCTTTTTGTGTGCGCTTGAATTGGATCTGATTGGCACAGGAGGAGATTGACCCTTTTTTCTCCAGTGGAGGCATCTGGTCTATTCAAAACGTGCACCTTCGGGATTGTAGCACTGCTTCTTGCCACTATAAAATGTACACTATTTAGAAAGACCTTTTGATACTTGCTTGTAGCATTAAACAATTTTGAAACAACAGCAACAACAACAAACATGTGTGGCTATATAGATATTCGTAAGTAAAATATGTATGTATAAGAGAATATACCTATGTGTGTATGTAAGTGTATATATGTGTATGCCTATATGCACAGGTATAGGACTCTCCAGTAGATTTTCAGGAGCTGTAAACCGTACATGAGATTTCCCATCTTTTTTCCTTTGAGCAGCTGAATTCAAACCACTTCCCTTTGGATTGAAAGTGCTAGGCCACCAGAGTTCCCTTTTCCCTTCTTTTTAGTCTACATGTATATATAGGACTGTATGCATATGTATGTTCATATACTTAACTAAGTACACAGTGAGGACTGTTACATGTACTTCTTAGATGTGACCAAACACTTTGCAAGATTGATTTCTTGGATCTGAAGGATTATGATCATAGTCTCATGGGATTTATAAGTCACCTGAAATAATATACTCCATACAGTTGATATGCTACATCCTAGTTTGGTGAGCAATGTCTGTTTTGGGAAATGTTTTCCTGTGCTTGTTTATGATTTGGATGTTTTCTTTTATGGTGTGTCTATTCAAGTTTCTTGCTCCTTTTTATGTTGTGTGCCTCTTATTGGTTTGTAGTTATTCATAATACTCTGGGTGTATAAATCTTGTATCAGTTATAAATGTCCTGATTATCTTTCCACTTTCTTTTTTAAAATTGTCATTTAATTAATGTGACAGAGTATTAACTGTTTACCTTTTCATTTTACTAATGGTGGTTTTTGTTTTTGAAATTAAGATTATACTTAACAAAA